GCAAACAAAAACTCTTTCCAGTGAGGACTACTTAAGAGAAAATAAAGACAAGCGCCCTCTTTAATTTTTCTAAATTGGCTTAAGCATGCACTTATGTAATGAGCAGCCCATGAGGTATGATATTTAACCTCTGTAGCTTCTTTTTGTTAATTTTAAAAGTGGACTGTTACTATTTCAACACATATAAACTGCGGAAACTGATTCTTAGAAATCTACACTTGTGTTATTGCTCGCAAAAAACAGAAATCTTACAAATGCAAAAACACATACCTTGATGAGTACATCAAAGAAACCTGAGCAATGTGTTGGAGATATTGGTGTGTATTGCCTGGTGATAGCCTTACCATCACACTTTCCACTGAAATATAATCACAATTAATCTGCTTTGAAAGACTTTACATTAAAGATCACTCTAGGAGGTAAATGATTTTCGTATGGTCACTTTTGTATTTGCCTTGCAATTTTCTCACTTTGGTAGACTTCTATGACACAAAATTTAATAAGAACAGGATCATACCCTTTTTTAACAAAAAATTCAAGCACTTTTCGAGAACTTTCAAGGACACATTTCCCATTTTTCAAGGACTCCCTTCAATGCAAAATAAAGCCTTGAGTCTATGTCTTTTTTAGTTCTAAATCCACAACATGAGCAACTTTATCCTGAACGTCTTTCTGTGTTTGCTCCTTTTCCTTTGGGTTGGATAAAGTTAGCACCAAAATTCAAGGACTTTCAAGGCCTTAAATTTATATTTTAAAATTCACGGACTTCCAAGGTGCGTGCAAACCCTGTATTAAAGAGGTTGGTCAAATTACTATCACTCAGCCTCTATATAGCTTCAAATTGTTTGGTGTACAATGTAGTGTGTGGAAGCATATCATCTTTGAATGCTGCACCCTAGTTTGAAATTGTGACCTCAACCCCCCTCTCTCTAAATAAATACATTATTTAGTAATGTTAATTTTTCTGCAGTGTAAAGGTACAAAATGAATCTTAAGCAAAATGAATGCATCCTTTTTGAAAAGATGCATATTATACAACATGATATTAGAATTAGGCTCAATAACATTTGGGTTTTAATAATATGAAATGCATTCTGTTTTGGGTTCCATGGTATCCAGCATAAGATGTCTATGAAAAAACTATGATTACCTAGTTGCCCAAGAACAAAAGGAAGGCTCCAGGGGCCAAAAGACAATGCTAGAACGCAGCCTTGGGTTTGCATTCAATTTAAATGATTACCCTGGAGCCATTAAGCTATATCTACATTTAATATATTTTTTTATTCATTTGTTTAATCTATTTTGTGAGAAAACAATAATAAATTGCATTTGTACAGGATGGATAGCCAATAATAATATTATTATTCATGATTCCTAAAAATTGCCCTTTCACTGATTCATTCATGGCAAGCAATGCATGTCACAATAACATGGTACAGTGAAGGAGATGCAAGTGGAATAATATTGTGAATGCTACTGTACAATAATATTAACATTCACATGGAGAATGGTTTCAATCCTAGTAAAATAAATATCTGCAACTGAAAATGAAATTGCCATCTTTGCTACAACATCTGCAAATGTTTCAACCTTCAAATGGCAGACCTGCCGACCCCAAAAAGGCAAAAAATGAGAGATTCTGAACCTAGAGGTGGAAAAGGTAGTGAGAAATGGGTAAAAAAATAATGAGATGTCCCAATTTTGCAAGTGGTAGGATTTCCAGCGGAGATTATGGGTGCATTCCTTTGGGATGATCCAGATCAGGATCACTGACCTGAGATCACTTGGATCAAGGTAGATCAGTAGACTTGCTACAAGTTGACCTCTTGGCGAGCAAAGCGAGCCTTGTTTGGCCACGAAGCAGCCGACCGCGAGCGACGAAGTCGCGAGGGTTCGACTTGTCTCGCTTGATGGGTTTCCATTTGCATTTCGCGCCAAAAATGGGGAGTGGCGTGACTCGCATTTGGGGTTTCAGGTTTCCTTTGCGAGTCCTTGACTTCAACGGCAGAATGTGCTGATTCCACTCCGACTAAATCTATTGAACGTGTGTGTGTATCTCCATCATCGAAGGAGCAAATTTGTTTACTTTGTGCGAAAGTTGACGAGCTCAAGGGGCTGGAAAAAAAACAAAACCTTGTTTGAATCTCGAGTCAATACTGGGAAAGGAGATTTCACAACCAAGGAATCCTTGACATCCGCACACATTTTTTAGCCTGCAGAGACTTTTCAATACACGCATTTCTCTTCCTGTAACCCTCACGGAGTCAGAAAAGGTCTCATAAAGGGCGAAGCCCTTAGACTTCTGAGAACTAACTCCTCAGCTAAAAACATCTATGAAAACATCTACAACTTCAAAAAACGCCTTCGCGCTAGAGCAGACGACGATCGAATAGTATCCTGGCAGCGTTACCCTCACAATCTTATAGGTTAAGTTTACCAAACGGAAGTCAACTTTACAAAGGAACAATGAAGTGCGAAAGAAAATTCTGCCTTTCGTTACCACATACCACCCCGCTTTGTAGAACATTTTAGTGAGCAAATGGCACTTAATTCAAGATCAACCACTACTGACAGAGATATACAACGAGCCTCCCATCATTTCATATAAAAGAGCAAAATCACTGGGAGATATCCTCGTTGGAGCAAAACTATAAGGTCACGTATCACACTATCACGAGCTTATGAGTCGTGTTTGGCCGGTCAACACCTTCCACTTCGCAATCGACCCCATGTTTGTTTTTAAACTGCAAGTCACGTTTCAGTACTTGTGATTGACAGCTTTATCCCCAAGGGTCGTTGGGAGCTACTCTGATTGGTCCAAGCATACCGACCCGTTTTTGGGTCGGTAAAATTGGCGCCAATCAAGTATGAAAAGTCCTTCGTCCCGCGCCATATGAAATCCGACTAAGGACTTTTTTGAAAGTCTAGGTAGATCAGATGAACCGATGAATCCTTGTCCAGAATGGATTCATCGGTTCATTTGATCTACCATGATCCGAATGATCTCGGATCACTGATCCTGATCCGGATCATCTCAAAGGAACACACCCGGCTATGGGTATTGGAAGTCACATATCACTTTAAAGCAGGAGCTGTGTGCACATACATGTAACGATCCATTTTACAATTTAGGTTTTGTAATTTCTATGTTTTGCTGGCGACCATCTTGAAACATGAGAAACAGTAAGTCTGTGCAGTTGGTGGCAAGGACAACTTGCGGTAGGCTAAAAGAATGTAATCAAATTAATGCGACTACTAAAGGTTTTCTTTGTATTGAGCTGACTATTTATTGATATCTAGCTTGGAAATGAACCCTACAGCTTCAAAAATATTTTGGAGTTTGAATTTTCAAGAATGTGTAAGAAATCAGTTGCTAACTCGTGAGGGCGTGTGATTGGTTGTGAAATTGTGAGACTCATGACAAAGTGGTGAGACTTGGCAAGTCTGAAATGGCTATATTATGATGACCATCAGTTTGTACAGAAATTAAGAATCACCTCATATTATCAAAATAATTACCAAGCAGAAAATCTATCATTCTTTCATACCTCATTATCAGATGTTGTCCAATCTTCATCCCAAGCTTCTTGTTTCCTGGAATGTTAAACCTGTATATGCAGGAATCGCCAGTAAGTTTAGTAATAGACTCCAGTACAAAGGATCGAAACTCTGAGGTACAAAGTGCTTCATCACAATCTCCAAGTTGCGCATCACTATTTTTCCCAGTTTTTATTTTGTAACATTCAACTTTCCATTTTTTCACTTCCTCCTCATAAATGTCAAAAACACAAGGAATGCATCCAGTACCACAGCAGTCACTGTCAAGTGGTTTTTCGGGCGGTTCAGGGAGACTTACAGAGATACCTTTTTTGTTCTCACTTGAATGTTCTCCATTTGCAGCCATTGTAACAAACGCACTGTATAATCGTAAACACTGTAGTGCTTCCAATAAAAATGATATTTTACGTCAAAAATAAACTACCGGTTTTCTTGTAATCATCGTGTGGTGAAAAACGCTATCATGAAGTATCATAAACTAAGATGGTTAGCTTTCTGGCTAAAGTTAAACTGTACAAGAGTTTTACCAGAGCTTAGTCACAGTACACGAAAATCCGAGTCAAGAAACTGTCGCGTCAAATGATAATAATTTCCGACCAATCTCCTTTTTCAAAAGGGAGGTTGGAAGTCTTGATTCTAGTTTTCTTCTGTACACAAGCTATTTTCAGGCTGCTTAAGTTCACATTCAGCAGTAGACAATCTTGGTAGAGTAGAGTCTCTTTGTACAGTGCAGTCTGTTCCCAGAAGCAACGAAGTCCACCAAGAAAAACCTTCAGAACGTAACTGCTTTGATCCAGTATAAACCTCTCCTTCTCGCTTCCTTTTATATTTCAGTTTTTTGGATCCTTGATTCACCGGCTTATTGTCATTCATTGTTACCTGCAGAACGTAAGTCTTTACAAGTAAGTCTTGAGACTCTCCGCCATCTCAGCCGCCATCTTTAATAGATCTACAAGCAAGTCCAGTCCCTCCGCGATAAAGTTTGACAGGAGCACAGGATCCCCAGTACGAGATCAATAGGAAAACGAGAAAAGCCAAAAAAAAAAAACCTTTCTCACCACAAATTCGCGGCTCCTGCCATGGGTAATGGAAGGATTTGAGGTAGTGTTTTGGACCAGTCAGAGCTTCCAAATCTGAATGATCAGCTGAGTAATTATACTGAACCAGGAGCCTAAGAAGAAACAAAAAGTTAACTGTGGTGATAAACATAAGGAATTTGTAACGCATTTTTGGAAAGAAATAAAACTTAAACTTGACGTTTCGCGTGTTCAAACATTCATCTTCAGAAGTAATCATTGAATAACAACAGAAATTGAAATGCAGAGTAAGTAACTAGTTAAAGAAACTGCAATAGATTACATTTGCTAGGAACTGATTTGCATATAAACAAAGCATGCAAAATACGTAATGGTGAAGTTTTTCACTGCTGACATTTCATTTAGGGAAGGTCAGCAGAGTCCTCTTTGTATCTTGCAATGGTTGTCCGACCGTCCTCTTGCCAAAATTCCGAAATGGTCCCATTTGAAGTTGTAACCGGTTGACGTGACATTGTCTACAATAGAGATGAATGACTGCTACTCGTAATGGCTGTGAAGTGTTCAGTTTTCCGTCACGTTAACCAACCACGTTTAGTTTTTACCTCCGGTACGTAGAAATCCTGGCAGTCCCAACAACTAGTCTTATAAACAATGAGCATTTGAGTACGAGAGAACCTGTCACACGTGCTTTGGAAAAAAATCTAGAGGTCAAAGCAACCGTAAAATTTATTGATCCAAGCGCTCAGCTGTTTGGTGAGGATTCTGCTTTGTAACCCTAAATAAGGTCGAATTGAGACGACTTTCTTCCTTGCAGAGCCTACTGTTACCAGGTTTCTGACCAAATACAGCGGCCGATCCAGACGTTCAGATAAGGTGGGGGGGGGGCGGACGGTCTTCGAAACCCTGAGATAAGGAAAGCTGGTCCCCCTGGGCCCCTCCCCTGGATCCGCCACTGAAATATAACTTGTCATAAATACTTCCATATCCACTCATTTCAGTACGTGTGCCCAAATTTTATCTTTGATTCAAGTACAGTATTAGCATTATTATCAAGACTTATCATCATTTACTTAGTGCGGCAACATTTTTGCATCTTTATAGAAGAAAACTGAAAAACGATCAGCCGCACGCATAAAATTAGCCTGCAGTGCAGGCCTATTTTGGGCGGGCGAAAGCTGCTTGTTTATGTTCGTAGTGTTGAAAAAAAATGGAGATTGGGAAGAGTAGAAATAGCAACTTTTAGGGTAGCTGCTAGGGCTAAAGAAGGAAATGGGAGAGAGGGAGGGGAGAAAAAATCAGCCAGTCAAGATTGGGTTCTTAAGATTGATGATACATGTTTATTTTAGTTAATCTTTGTTGTTAAAACGCCTTAAGGTATAAAGATAAACTCCAATAAGGCAAACATAGTATTATCTTTATAAATGGCCGTATTTAAAGCATTTAACTTCTGCTTTTGCCTCTCCAGTCAAGAGGTCAGCAAAAATCAACCTTTGTTTATTGTTCTAAGGAGTTTTAAAAAGTTATTTCACGCAACAGGATACGATAAGCAGGTACGAACAGAGGTCAAAAACAGTGCCTCTTTGTCATTGGGAGTTAATCGATAGTGCTCAGGCGATGAACACAAACAGGAATCTGTCGTTTCCTTACCATTCAAAGGGTTTTTCTTCTCAAGGTTTATTTTAACGTCGGTAAACAAATAGAATAAAAATAGGGTTCCAAGTAAATAGAAATGAAATTACTGTTTTCCTGGACAGTAACAGATGGACAGATACAGGCAAAATTAATAAGAGACCAGTCACCGCCCGCTTTCATTGTTATCTTTTAAGAATCTGTGTTAATAGAAAAAGTAGATAAATTTTACTGGTTACCCGTTGAATAAGTCATACATCTGGCATTTGCTTGGTATCATTTTCAGCAATTTCTGATCTGCCCGCTAGGGCTTTCTGTTCAAGGGCTGTTTAGTTGCTATAAAAACATGTCTTCTTTCAAGCTCCTTTCATGCTTTCAGCCTTATAATTTGAAAATTGTTTGTCGACTGAGGTCGTATTACTATAGGGCATCCACTTGCCTCGGAAAAATCTGATACAAAAGTGAGGCAAAAACTGAAGTCACAGAGCGTTCATGTGAATGAAACAAATTTACATTCGCTGCCGTAAGGGTGAGGTTGTGACATAGAATATTCTAAAGTTTTTAGCATGGGCTACCAGTAAAATGCGTGTCAAAACTGCGTGGTAAACCATTCACATGTCATTAACTGATCAGTGGGACTCAGTGACCGAATGTTTCCAACGTCAGAAGTGTCTCAAATGGTTTTCCCCATGGTTAATTAAAAAGGCCAGTAGCCTGCGTTGTGCAGCCGGCCCACACATCTCTTGACCATTTGCATGGAAGGTTTAAGGTGTCTGTGAGGCAAGCTACAGACGAACCTCCTCCTCACGTCAGCGACCACCTTCCATAAGCGACCCCCAATCTTTAACACCGAAACTTTCCCAGTCAAAGCCTTACAGTTGCAATCTCTTGTAAACGACCATCTCCCGTAAGCGACCGCGACCACTTTTTGGGCCTGAAAGTTGAATGATTTTCTATTGTTTTTAACCTATTGTAAGCGACCACTTGACACTTAGAATATACGAAGAACTTTAGTAACAACATGGAACTGCACAACGCGTAAATTAGAAATTGTATGCAATAAATTATCTTCCATAAAGTAAATGTGCTCCGACCTCTTCTTGGAAGAGGCCCCCTGTGGTTCGATTCTTGTAAGCGACCACCTCCCGTAAGCGACCACTAAGTCTTTGCATTTTGGGTGGTCGCTTACGGGAGGTTAGACTGTATTAAAAAGGCAGTTTGGTTAATTTTGCCAGTTGCCGTACAAGCTATTTATTTTTTCATATGACTTTTTCGTCTCATCCGAACTGTTAGCTACCCTGATGGGTTCAGTCAAGGGCCGTGCGTTTCACTGTTAGAAGATTCTAGGGGACATTTTGTCTTTGTACCAAATTTTTCAAGACACCTTTTTTGAAACAATATATTAATCGCAATGTCGTAGGTCGTGATAAAGAAATGAAAAACCCAACCTCCTAATCTTAGGTAAGTTCAGGGTTCAGAAAAACTCCGACTCTCTTAGACGAGTGGAAAAGTGATCTTGAAATTGTGTCTTTCACGAGCTTTAGAATTTCTAGGCAATACTGATTTGCTCCTTCGAACCTACAGTTATTTTGGGTGCCCCTGATATATAAAATGTCAGCACTCGAGCAGGACCCCCTGGGTACTTTTTCAAGAGTCTTGGGCCCAGAAGACCAAAAAAAATAATGAAAAGAAAATAACAGCCCCATCGTAGCCAAAAGTGGCTGAAATAATGCTGAAATTGACGCCTGTGATGTTCTGGAAGAGTCGTCGAGACACAAGTGCACTTATGATAATGATATCATTATTAGATGCTTGACGAAAGAGAGGGTATCGAAAAATTGCCAATTGGTTCGCTCACAAGACAATTGGGCCTGTGCGAGTCTGTTACATTTTCGGCATTTTACAGTCTACTCTAGCCCTGTGGACACCTTGCTAAAATGTTGCTGACACTCGATCCAGAAATATGGACAGCAGATCAATCCCAATTAAATAACGAACTTCAGAAGGAAATAGAGCAAGGCGGGTGAAATTGGCAGGCTAGTCTATTTGACCTATTTGTAATGACTTGACCAGCTTTTATACAAAGAAACAGGCTACAAAGTAGGGTACGAGTAGGCGCTTCATTTTATAGAACAGGATGTACTTCCAATCAGTTAAGTTGGCTAATGATGCAGTAGTAGGAGTGGACTTCGTTTCCGTTAAACATCTGTCATCAGCGAATAAACAAATAGCAGGGGCTCTAGGAAAAAAAACACGGGCATAAGGTGTTAGATTACCCACCTCATGAAGTTTAGCACAATCTTAACGAGCGAACGTTAAAAGCGCATGAGATAACACACAACGAAGCAAACCGTCCCGACGTATCTTATTTGACTTAGTTTAAAGAATATCATCACAAGGCCATGAGATCAAAAATTCCATAGGCTTAGTGATACAAACCTGAATAACCATTATCAGGCTACATTTTTATGGTCGGTTACAATCCATCTGATTCTCTATTCGACTCTATTTTCGTCTTCCTTCGCGACGTCCCCCCTTTTATGCGCCAAGAGAAGTCTACAAGCCTCAGAAAGTCCAATTTATTTTACGATCTCAGACGCTGTGGTCAACCTTATTTTGTTCATGGTTCGGAAGCGGTTTCTTTTACGGAAAAAAGTAAGGTAAACACAACTTGATCAACTTACACCAAACTGATGGCTACTTGATGGATCGAACATGCCGGCTTAGTAGAGGGATTCGTTGACACGAAGACTACCAAGAACCTTGTAGCCATGGAAGAAGAATCAGTTGATTTAGGCTCAGGTCAAGTACGCAATGAGTTTTCCGCCGATCCCTACATCAACCCAACATTATTGTCCCTACAAAGTGCATGGTATTCTTTCGTATTCACTCTCGGGGTGATCGGCAATATCTACATAATCTTGACGGTGTGGTGCCGAAAAGAAATGTCTTCTACAATCAACTGGTTCATTGTAAACTTGGCATTTAGCGATCTTGGGATTTTGCTGATCTCTCTTCCAGCGGAGTACATCAGAGACTATTTTTCGTGGCCATTCAATAAATTGACGTGCCAGCTATTTGTTCCCTTGAATGAAGTGTTTTTTTGCGTGTCAATATTTACACTCACAATTATAACCATCGAGAGGTTTCGGGTGATTTGCCGTCCGTTTAAGCCAAGGTTGACCGAGAAGAAAGCCAAAATAGTCATTGTGTTGGTCTGGATTGTAGCCTACTTGGCCGTCGGTTTGCCAGTGTCGTTTCTTATGGAGGTAGAAAAGATGGACAGTGACCTAAAATGTCTTCTGAAATGGCCCGGTGTCCTGCAAAGACGCCTCCACACTTGTTTCATCGTCACTCTTGTAATCGTACCGTTGCTCATAACTGCAGCTGGGTATGCTGCGATTGTTTCAACAATGAGGAAGCAAAGCTCACGAATCCGTGCAAGAACAAACTCCATCAGTAGTAACAGCTTGACATTTCGCAGGGACATGATTTGCTTGCAACAAAATGCCAAACTCATCAAAATGCTTCTGCTAATTGTTATTGTGTTCTGGGTATGCATGATGCCCCTCGCCATTCTAGCGTTGGCAAATGAGTTTGGTAGCATAAACATCAAACATGGACTGTCTGCATTTTGTGTAGCACTTTTCTTCAGTAACAGCGCTTTTAACCCCATAGCTGTCTACGTCATGAGTTCAGAATTGCGAGAAGGGCTCTATAGATTATTTCAGAGAGTTTTAACATGTTTTACTGGTCAGATTCTAAACGAGTTGTGACAAATATCGTTTTGACCTCGCCATTGTGCTGTGTAAACAGCTATTTTAAAGGACTGTTTTATTATATAAACTCCCCGGACGCGGTGATTTCATTATGTTTATTCAGTGGTGTATTGTATGTTACTTCAATCATCATGATTTAACTTTGCGGTTGGTCAGAATATAAATTCGTGAGAGTTTGGATTTACTGAAAATTTTTACGCGCAGATAGGAAGTCCTTAGAATGTTCATCAATCAATGTGTGGCCTAATTAATCTGTTTCATTCATTTGAACTTCAATATATTGCTACGCGAAAATTTGAAGATATAATTGAAAGATATGTCAAAAAGATAAATTTTTACCTATATTGATCCTGTCCAAAGCGTCGCGCCGTGAGATAGAAAAGAATATATATTATTTCGAATATCGTTGATCAGTATAGTGTATAGGTGTCGTTTTAGATACTGGTACATTACTCGAGAGATTAGACAAGAACGTGACTTTAAAAAGGTGTAGATAATAAAGCAAGTAGAAGCAAAAACAAGAAAGTGATACAATGAAATTGTTGATTGTACGGTCTCTTCAACACAAGGGTTTCGATTGTCTGCATGTTAATCTCTGACCTCTTTTCCCACCCACCTCCATCGAGGTCGTAAAAAAATAACATTCCAAGATGAAATTTATATCATGACGTTTCATATTCGCCACATGGAAAAACTGTAAAAGCATTTTAAAAAACGCCAAATTATATAGCAGGGGGCGTGTTTATAGAGAGCTAATCAAATTTTATAAGATTTGTTTTTTGATGCGTTTGCTTTATATCAACATCATTTTTTCTGAAATCTGTGCTCTTAAGATCTCTGGCAGTTGACGTATTATGTGGGTTGCCAGCCCATTTCTTGAACCTGCAGAGAATATCACCGTTAAAGATCTCGTTATCTCATCTGAATTTTTGCTATTGCAGAGGCAGGAAGTAGCAGTGTTGACTGATAAGAAATGAAAATAACAAGAAAAGTTCAACTATATTTTTAGAGGTCCATGAATGCACTGTATAGTCCAATAAACGCCTCCTTACATTTTACTATATGCCCTGAAACAATATTCAGTCTCTTAATTCTGCTTTAGACAAAACCTGTCTGGATCAAGGATAGCGTGATTTAAAATTGCTAAGAAGCTTTGCTATCCACTGTAATCCGGATGAAAATGTTATCAAAGACTAGGAGATCTGAGCACTGATGACTGTGCTGATCAGTTGGAACTCACTGCCTTAAAACGCACTTCTGTCCTAATCGTAAATATGGTCTGTCGATAACGAAAAACCGGTGTGTCATGGCAGACTCACAAACAGGATACTTTGCAGGTAACTTCTGCAGTGCTAGTTCACTCGCAACTGCTCTCCAAAAAACGTCTGTATGGCAAGCATATTTATAATTGAATTAAAACATGTTGATCTCCCTTCGTGCTAAGCCAAAACGCGTGACAAAATTTAATCGGCTTGTCTCTTTTTTCTTTATCGCATTAAAAATCCTTTTCTTGTATCGGTCATGATCGGTCAGTTACTGTAGGCTCGCATAATGAAAACAATGTCAAGAAAATGAAAATGAGATAAAACTCGGCCAAGGTTATATAAAGTCTGGGTTGGGGGATCGAGGGGGCACTCCTTTATAAGAGAGATACTCGACGTCTCGCTCAGGGGTATAAATTGCATGTTGTTGTTTTTACCCATACAGATATCCTAATGGGGTAGTTGGTAAAGACACAGAAAGAAAACCAAACGCCGTCAAACAGTACAGGAGGGGTGGGGGGTTAAAGTCCAGCCCGGTCTGAATAGTTTGACATTTCAACCTTAGCCTGCGGATTTTTTCGAGGAAATTATTGGCATTTTTGTTTTAAACTGTTTTTCAGCTTGTTTTCTAGTGATTTCGACCAAACTTAACTGGGGTGATATTTTTTTTTATAGTTAGAGGCATTTGAATAATGGTGGTGTGAAGTTTCTCCCGATTTTTAGATATTTGTTGACATGAATAGTTGTGACTTCTTCAAGTTGCTACTTGCTGCTTTTCATTGTCCGTAGTTGATCTATGGATTGATTTACCCAATCTTTTTCGATAAAGGAGCTTGATAGCTTTGGTAAATCAACTACCTGACATGATTTTCAAACTGTAATCCCTATACTCTTCCAAGTGTTATTATGGGAAGTTCAAACTTTTATGAGAATCATGGACAGGCCCGAGCTGTTTGTTTCTCACGTAAGCGGCTCGCCACGTTTTGGCTGTAACGGAATATTTATCGGTTAAACACGGCATTAAACATAATGAACAACACATTTTTAATTTGATACCAGATACAGTGTTTTTCAGGGTATCTACTTGGCAAATAATTATTACGCCATATATCATGTGACTTACTCAGAGGGGTACAGGCGGTTCACCTAACGCTACACTACCCCCACCCCCTTATTTAAGTACTCTCCCAGTGCTGGTCCATTATATACTGATCCGAAAAGATCATCAATTAAAATCAACCGACTAAGAGTCTCTAATTAATGACACTTTATCAACATGCCAAATGTCTGCGGTTCTCAGCAAATGAATGGCATTTGCTCTTGTCTAGCTGCTTTGACTGTCCTACAATGCTCATCAGCCCCTCCGTATCGACTTGGTGGCTTTCGCTGCTTTGAAGGTCTCTTACAAACACTGGAATCCCTCCCAGTCTATAGTCGATTTAACTGTTTGACGGCCAACACCATCCCAGTTATGGTCATCTACAACAGAAGTTGGCAATTCTGCTCGAGGTTCAGGTTCCCTTACATTATTAGGCGGGCTTAACACCGTTATCATCCCCAATTCAATCAGCATCCCGATTTCTCGGGGAAACATCGCCCTTGTCTTCTTCAATTCCGTAGATTGTGTTTCGTCAAGTTCAACTCCCTCTCTCTCGTCGACGGAACTAACTGTCCGTCGTCGACAAACTGACGAATACACATCTGAAGTCTCTCTCCCCTCGTCTCGGGCTCGATAACTGCGTCTGCCTCTTTGAAAATCCATCTCTCCAGTGGCGGTCCCAGATAAGGCTTTAATCTGTCTGAATGGTCGACCTTGGGCTGGGCCTTTCGCCTCTTCTGGATACGATACACCACCTCCGATAGCACTGATATTACAACATAGGGTTATTCCGAAGGACAATCAAGTTTGGCGTTTTTACCCTTCTTCCTCCGAACGTTATGCAGCCAAAGAGAATCACCGATAACGAATAGTCTACCAGCAAGCCGTTTATTGTAATTCCGCTTCTGTGGTACAGATGCCTTGTTCAAATGACGTCTGGCCAAATTATGCGCATTCTCTTGCGAACAGTTTGAGCACAGTCCGTATGGAGAGGTAATACTTAACAATTATTCTTTGAAATCGAGATGAATAGTGGCAAAATATTTACCGAGCCACGAAGTGGCGAGGTAAATATTCCTAAAACCACTATTCGCCGAGATTGAAAAGAATAATTGTTTTAGTATATACACACGAAGTGATCTCAACAAAATCAGGGAGGAAACCATTAAAAAGTACGATTTGATTGACAGATCAGGTCAGCTAGACACACGATAGATAGATAGACAGATCTTTGTAGAATTTTCAAACATGGCAATTCAAAAGTTTATCACTTCGCAAACAACAGCGTAATGACTTAAATGGAACCGCTAAAAGTTTGAATTGTTTCCTTACCTGAGAAGAAAAGAAGAGCTTTGTTCTTTTCTGTTGACTCGCCAAGTTTATGGCCGAAAAGGTTTGTTGTGTCGTTATTCGCATGAAGAGCTGACAAAAATAGCGATTCGGTTCCTCGAGGTAAGACGTCGTCTTCATGTAGCATTCTTTCTCGCGTTTACTTGAAACGTAGAATTTCTGCTTACATTTGCTTTCAAATTTGTTTGTCATAAATAAACTTCGTTTTTGGGTCAAATTTTTCTTGTCAGGAAACGCTGAGTTCACGAAACGGCCTCTTCTAGGCGAATAAACAGGAGTTGTAAACAATCAATCGACCACAAAACTCAACAACAGTAAATGGAAAAACGCCGTTTTGAATCTTTCGAAGTCTTTTCTTGCCTGAAAAAAAGTTAACCCTAGGATTTTGTCGACTTTTAAAAGATCTTTCACTAAGAAAATGTGAAAAAAACCGAGCTCACACATTATCCACTCGCTAGGAGGTGAATATTGTTGAATAGTCCGAGATAGCGGACCAATCAGATTGCTTAAATCACCAAGATCACTGAGTGTGTAAATCATGATATACACGTAATTCCCTACCCAGCATTAAGAGGTAAGGGGAGACCCCTGCTGACTCATGAACAGCACCTAAACATAGGCTATCATGCAAGCTGCAAGCTGTGTATCCCAATCTGCTAAGTCCTGCTGGATCTTCCCACGTAACACTTAAATGAGAGTCCTGCTGAAACGCTTGCAGTGGAGTAACGCCAGGCTTCTCAATGTCTAACAACCTGCAGACTTCAACAAACACCTTTGATTCGAAGTTAGTTCCTTGGTCGCTATGAAGTTGAGTAGGTACACCGGAACGACAAATAAACTCGTTCAACATAACTTCTCAGCAACAGTGATGGCCTCCTGGTTTGGTATTGGGTAACCAGTCTGAGTCCGTTTAGTGAAATAGTCACTAACCACCAGCATAAACGTTTTCTTCCGCGGGGATTCTGGCAATGGGCCAAGAATGTCAATCGCGAATCGTTTCATGTGAGCTCCCACTTCATACTGCTTTGAAGGGGCACAACGTTTCCTTCCCGGTCTATTAGATAGATAGATAGATAGATAGATAGATAGATAGATAGATAGATAGATAGATAGATAGATAGATAGATAATCTTTATTTATTCACGGTACAGAATTCGTCAGCTTTAAAAATGCCTAATACTAATATAATAAAAATATTTAAATAAAAAAGCTGCTTTCCACGAATGCCGTGCCTTACAGTTCTTTGAGTAATCGTTTAAATTGCCCAAGGGACTCTGCTTCCCTTA